TTTCCCTGCTAAATGAATATTCATATTGATACAGACCACAGCATGGGATACCTTGGCTTTATTTTAAGTCAGTCAGTTTTGTAAAAATAGCATAAGATGCGAATGTTGGAAGTTTTTCAGTGGAGATAGTGAACTCATTTTTAAAAATTTCACAAGTCCCTTCACAAGTTAATGCCCGAAAGTAAATTCTCACTAAAAATGTATGCCTCCCTCCTTTAACTGCTGTGTATCCTGTTCATTTTTGTTTGCTCACTGTGGCTTGAATGAGGCAAAAATAGAAGTGAATCTGTGATATTTTGGAGGAAGGTGGTTAGAAAAAAATTTAGTTGTGTGTTTATGCTGTCAAACATCTCGGTGGGCTCTCCGGTCCTTAGTGTTAGAGTGGCCAACTCATCCTGGCTTTAAAACTGGAAGTCCAAGGCCCAGGAGCTCCCTCATTTCCAGACAGACCCAGGCAGTTGGTTCTCCTCTCTTAGTTTATTCTCTGCATCCCTAAAAAGGCCTCACTAGGTTTTTACTGAACATTTTGGAGATTTCACCATAAGCTAGCCTCTGTCAGAAAGTACAGGGATTAGGTTCTTTTTTTTTTTTTTTTTTTTTTTTAAGAAATGATTGTCATACGGTAATGCAAGCTTACCTCTCTCATAGAAATAAGACAAATAAGACATGAACTTTAAACTGATTTATTTAAAAGTTTAGGTCTTCCGCTATTCCCCAACCTGACCAAAAAAGGTAATGCATAAGTAGAAGCCACTTATAATTCCTTAATACAAAAATAGTAACTTTAATAAATAAATGATGCCATTAAATACTATTTTTGATATTAAAACTCTATACCTTACAGTACTTCCAAATTCTTTACAACCTGTTACCTCATTAATCCTGTCAATCCTGTGAGGAAGCTGGAAATGTATTATTATTTCTATTTTATAAATAAAGAACAGAAACAAAGTAATGCCAAGGACTTGCATTATTTTTTATTTGTTTGTCTAAGTTAAGACCATGGGTGACAAATGTGAGACAATTAGGTTGATACTTGTGGCAGATGAGTAACCAAATGAGGCATGTCTGTGGACAGACAGCCTCAGATAAGTTGCTTCCGGCTTAAGAGAAAACCATTCAAGGTTTTTAAATAGTAGTAGGCTTTGGTTTTATACTGAGGCCTTCAGAGACACCTGTCCATGTTTTGTATTGTGTCTCTTTTAAAAACAGTTAAAATCAAATATTGATACACAGTGTGGTTTTTTTTTTCCCCCTCATGGAAAAACTGATTTTGCAGTTAGACACATTTATTCACGAAGGAGCTGATGAGCTAAATTTTTTTTACAAACACAGCATCATTTATATTAATATACCTAGATTATTTGAAAAGATCACAAAATTATCACTTCAGTGCATTCAAGTACAATTTATGCTTTTACTATATTTTAAACTACAGAATCATTAAAGGAGAGAAGCCAAGGGCCATGATCGGAGGAACACTGGTAGTCAGGTATCAGAATTGGCTCTGTCAAGGACAAGCTTTGTAACTTTGGGCAAGTAACTTGGTCTTAATTTGCTTTTGTTCCTTATTTATGAAATAGAAATAATACATTTCGAGCTTCCTCACAGGGTTGACATGATAATGAGGTGATAGGTTGGAAAGAACTTCAGGTATGGAGTTTTAGTATCAGCAATAGTATTTAATGAAATAACTTGTTTATTAAAGCTAATATTTTCATATTAAGGAATTATAAGTGGCCCATACTTAGGCAGTACCTTTTTTGGTCAGGTAGGTGAATATTGGAAGGTCTAAAGTTAATTATCTTAACAACTACTTTGTTACTGCATTGTAGCAGGTATGTTTGTTTTGGTTCTTAGGTACTTTGCATTTTCATTTCAATCTACATACTAAAGTTTTATGCTAATTCGAGGAAGAACAAATTTATCATAAGGTAACTGCTTTTGCCCTGGCTGGCGTGGCTTAGTGAATTGAGCACTGGCTTGCGAACCAAAAGGTCTCTGGTTTTAATCCCAGTCAGGCCACATGCCTGGGTTGTGGGCCAGGTCCCCAGCCGGAGGCATGCAAGAGGCAACTGATCGGTGTCTCTCTCACACATCAGTGTTTCTTTCCCTCTCTCCCTCCCTTCCCCTCTCTCTAGAAATAAATAAAAGCTAAGAAAAAAAAAGTAAATAAAAATCTTAAAATATATATATACTTATATATTTTACTGCTTTTAATTAAATTAGCTTTATAAACTTGTGGTACTGCCAAGAAGCCAGGGTGATCTAAAGAGGAAAGAAAGTACAGAGTTTTGTGTCAGTGTGTGTGTGAATTATGACTCCACCACTTACTACTGGGTGTTTAATTTCTTGGACTATTCATTTGTAAAAGGGGTATCATAGTATCTGCTGAAGATTAATAAATAAGATGATATATAAAATGTCTATCTCAGTGACTAGTATGTATTAATATTAGATGTTAAAATAAAATTATTCACCCACTTCCCACTCCAAACACACATACTGGTATAACCCAAGTCTAATATTTGTTTTCCTTTGTCCCCTAGGAATCTCTTGAGGGAAAGTGAGAACAAAAATCAGTGTACTATTTTGCTTTTTTTGAAGCTCTATTTATATATATCTGGGATAGTATTTCTAGATTATGGGTTTTTAAAAATGTGTTGACATCTTATTGTCCAAGAAAAGTGGTAAATGAACAGGAACATCATGGCATTAATTACAATGAATGCATTAGTTGCAGAAGTCTTCAGCTTCCTGTGGTATACAGATCATTCAGACTTTTCTTAGTCCCCACCACCCTGGTTTATGGGTACTATTCCCATTGAGTCCATTGAGTAGAATGAAGAACAGCTCTGTTGCATAAGGTTAATAAACCAGAACTCAACTTGGAATTCTTTAATCGGTCCTGCTTAAAATGTACAAGAAATGTCAGAAAGTACATTCTTTTCCTAGGAGTGACATTTTTTCCTAGGAAGAAAGCAGAGTTGCTGTAGATAGTTCAAGGCTCTTTTGAAAACAGTTTTTGCTCAGAAAGGGGCGGGGCGGGGGAGTGCTTCCTAGTAACTTATTGATTTATTTTATCTTTTCCTTTGGCATAGAAAGCAGAAGAAAGGAAATTAGAAGCTACCGTGTATGAGGGAGTGTTTTGCTTGATACCAGTATATTTTCATTTAATCCACACAATATATCTGTGAGGTAGGTTGGTGATATCCAGAGTTTACAGAGGGGGAAATTGGGACTTAGGTGGAGTAGATTTCATGAGGTCACATGGTTTAACAAGTGGCAGAATTGGGATTTGTTGTTAACTATATTTGCTGTTTGTGTGTGTGAGAGGAGTAGTTCTGTTTTTTTCATATTATCTTAACATCTAAAATGTAAAAAGAATGTTAGACATTTAAATGTAAACCATATACATTTTAAACAGGACCAAGAAATGTTTTGAAGGTAACTGAGATTGGAACCCAGATTAATTTGGTCCAAAGATTATGCTGGGCCTTGGGGATTACAAAGATGAATAAAACATCATCCATCATGTTGATCTTGCAAACTGATGGAAGTGGTTGGCATTTAAACCCACATAGTAGTACTCTGTTAAAAGTTAGGTGGGGCTCCAGATGAGAGTGACTTAATGCTAAGGAAGGCATTCCAGAGGAGGGGGTCGCCTTTGAGTGAATCAGATTGGGAAGGATGAGGGAGACCACCTGGGGGGCGGGGAACAGGCCTTTGGGATTGTAGTTGGTGGAAACCTTGCACAAAGGCATACAGAGGGAGTGAGAGGGTGTGGCCTTCTGGAACTAAAACCAGGCTTTAATGTAGGATTTTTCTCCATGGGGAATCAGTGGGTATTTTAAAGCAGAAAAGAATAGAATGGAACAGTGTGATAATAACAATAGTAATAGTTTAAAGGAGCATTCTGAACGAGTTGCTAAGCAAGGTTGGTGTTGCAGATAACTCAGTGTGTTTTTCCTTCCTAAAATCACCAAATAATGAAGGGCTCTTTATTGATATGTAGTTGCTTAGGTAACATCATTATTCCATATTTAAGAAACGTCTTGTGGTTTAAGGATATCTCATTAAAAGCCACCTATTCACCCTGACTGGTGCGGTTCAGTGGGTTGGTCATCATCCCACAGAGAGGTCACCGTTCATTGCTGGTTCATTGCCGGTCAGGTCCCCACCCCCAACAGGGGGAGTGTGAGAAGCAACCAATCTATGTTTCTCTTCCTCCCTTCCCCTCTCTTCAAAAATAAGTAAAACCTTAAAAGAAAAAGCCGCCTTTCAACTTTCATAAAACTTGTAGTTCTAAAGACACATCTAGATATGCAGCTTGATTATTTTATGTAATTAGATGTAGTGAAAAATTAATATTGTTGATAGGAATACTATTCAAATGATCTTGAAATAAAGGATATCTTTGAGCAATTCTTATTTTTATTATATAGCAATATATGTTTATTATAGAAAATTTAAAACAAAATAATGCAGAGAAAACAAAGAATACCTCTAATCACTAAGCAAAGATAAACATTTTGGGGATATATAACATTACAGTTACTAAACAGTTTTAATATTTCAGATTCTAGAGTTCTGGTCAACCAATGGCTGTATTTAATACTTCAAATTAAGAAAAATGGTTTTTTGTCTTCATATATTTTATTGACTGAATTACTACAGCACACTGAGAGTTTAGTTAATTTATTGTTACAGAATTTTCATTTAATACCTAAGGTAGTTGCTTTAACTTAAAATTGGAAGCTATTAAATACTAACACATGGCATAATTTAAGTTGCTATTAATCCTTTCTTACTACCAATTGGACATTCTATAGAATGCTAAATGAAAAAGGAACCTTAAAAACTATCCGTATTTGTTTTGCCTTCTTGTTTTACAAGTGAGGATACTTTTCTTCTGAATCTTCCGAGCTTTTCTTCCCAGTGACTTGTTCCCGTAGATTTTCTTTTGTTTCCAATGACTTCCTAGTTTGGCTTTTGTTTTGTTAAGCTTGCACTTGATTGCAGTCCTCTCCTTCTGCCCAGGCTCTGCTTTTCCATCTCTCAGACAGTGGTATAAAGAACAGGAAGACTGGAGAGATGAGGTAGCATGTGCCAGCCAAGTAGAAAGAGCTGGCATATGTCTGGGTGTGATCATAGAACCAGCCTGGAAGGAAGGAATGGTTTCTGTCAGCCAAGCAAACCTCACTAGCCCTTCTCAGCCATGAACTGTCCGCGATGCAATGGGCGTGCTATGCTTACCAGTCTGTATTGTGACCCATTAGAAAGTTAGTCTAGCTCCTTACCTGTCTTATTTTCTGGAATTGGGGACTCAGCCCATGAGGGGAAATGTCATTGCGGACCCAGAATTCATCTCTGATCTTGGAATGGAAGTTGGAGAAAATTAGAGGCACATGCCATTTCATCTTATGATGACTTTTATTAGGACACTATTCTTATAAAGAAAATAATTGTGAATTCCTAACATTTTCCAAAGGAAAAAAATGAAAGAACTGATTTGCTTTCTCCTTCACTGAACAAATGTTTGAGTATTTGCTCTGTTCCCAACAGTGTGCTTGGTGTTGAGGATACCGTAATGAGGCAGAACAGCCATGGTCCCTCCCCTCAAAGACTGTATAGTTTAGTGGGGGGTTAGGAGTTAACCACGTACATTACACCGTGATAAGGGCTATGAGGGAAGGTTCAGAGCAAATGAAAAGGAACTGTTTGGTCAAGTTAAATGATGGCTACAATTCACCCTGAAATGCTCTTTCAAAGCAAGAATGGGTAGGGATCCTCCAAATCATATAGCTAATGGCACATTCTTGAACTTAAGTGAAAAGCTTTTTTTTTTTTTAACCTGTGTAGTGGCAAAGAGTATTTGAGCAAGGTACCAGTATTTAAACACTGTTGGCAAAACTCAACTCTGTGAAAAAGGCAAATACCATCTCGGTATTATTTTGAAAATAGTTTTGACCCCACAGACTTTCTAAAAAACGTCTCTGGACTTCTCAGGGGGGTCTACTGACCACACCTGACAGCCCCTTTTCTAGAGATTGTATGCATAGTATGTTTGTCGATGCAAACTTACATTATGGCTTTTATATCTAAAGTAAAAAAAATCCTTAGAAAATTAAAGCTGTTATTCTGGTCATTTATTCAAAAACTGTCGGTGCTGTGTGCGAGCACTGTTCTGGATACTGCAGGCGGGCATACCCATGAACAAAATAGATAGAAATGTCTGACCTCGTGGAGCTTGCATGGTGTCTTTTGATTATCACTTACATTTTGAAAAACAATTTCTCGTGGGATGTTTTAGAGTAGATACCCTTTCTTTGGTCTGATTGTATATATCTGTCTCCTGTCCTCTTTGTTCTCTTATTTGGCTCTGATACAGACTTTAAAGTTTTTTTTAGTTGTTTCATTAGCTTAATGTTTCCTGATCTTAATGTAATGAATGAATGTTTTATAGCCTCTTAAATTCAGCTAACTTTAAGTTGCTTTTTACTTACTGACTCCATGTTTGATCAGTGACTTCAGATGTTTCTTAGGGTTAAACAAAAGAGTGGAGTGAAACTGACTAGGACAGGTCCTTATATTATGTTGTGATTGAACTTTCTATATCTGAGAAATAGGTGACCAATCTCAAAACTCCTCTAGAAATTTCTAGAAAGAAAGGAGTGTGGAAAGCATCAGCACCCCCTTTTATCCCTTGTCATCCTTGCCTTAGTTCCACTAGTACAGCAGATTTACCACTATATGCATAACCTGTGAATTATGAGACAGCAGTGTTAGAAATAATACTATGGGAAAAGACTAGAAATTCTTGAATATGGAGGTAAATAGAGCTGTTAAAAGGTCAGGAGAGCACAGCTAAAAATAGTAAAAATGGATTGTTGTTGTCAGGAAATCCCAGAGGGTCTAAAACAATTTAAGAGAAAACTGCTTGTAAGCCTCTCATTTCACCCATATACATACATTTAAAGTCAGAATGTTGCTTTAGAAACATTAAGGATTAAAATATACCTAAAACATTTTCTTATCAGGATAGGGTGTCATTTAGCATATTTTAGAACTGTCTCTATGTATTTCATGTAAAATGTAATGAAATAATTTGTTTTAAATCTGTTTCTTCTATTTATACTTGATAATTGAGATGTTAGTATATATTTTTATCCTATCTCTCAGACTCAATTACCATCCAATAATGTACAGTTGAGTATTTAGTTTTAGGAGTCCGTCTATAATAGCAAATGTGAGGTGAAATGTAGGATGCAGGACTCTATTGTATTAATAATTAATTGTCTTATGAGAGTATTAGCTGTTGTAATCAGGCCTAGATTTAAGTGGCTTCTATGGAAGTTAAATTTAGAACTTCATTAATATTGAAATATCTACTCTGTTGAGTTGATTAGCCTTTTCCCACCATTGAAAAAGCAAAAGAACACTGTATTTGGTGTGATTTTATCAGAGCTTCGTACTTTTTTGGTAACAATGTAAGAAAGCTGTATACAAATGCACTTTCAACCCTAAACAATTTAATGCTTCTAAGTATATATTTTTAAAAGGAATTATTTTTGTTAGTTCAAAAGCCACTGTATGTTGTTTTAAAAGGCAACATACACATAAGTTGTCATACAAGAGACTGGGTTCCTTTGTGATCATAGCAAGAGCCTCGAACATGGCAGAGATAGTGGTGTTTAGGTACCAGCCACAATTAGGGAAGTGTATATACATCCGAGTGTCCACTCCATACTAGTGTTTCTGTAGCTGAGAGGTACACTAGCAACTGGTGCAGACTTGCTAAGCTGCAGTCCCCTGCAAGCATTTCCTCAGTGTGTCCAGACCACCTGTGTTGGATTCACCGGAAATGCATGTTAACTGCAGTTTCATTGGTTCCCCTCAAGCCTACTTCATCCTGAATGGCGCTCAGTTGATTCTTATGTACAAAAAATTGTTCTCCAAATTACTTCCTTATGTTTGTAGCTATAACCCATGTTTTGGCAGAATGTCTAACAGTGTTTCCTGTGATAATTTAAAACAAGAAGTTAAGGCTCTACTTCCTTCAATAGTTTTGCAAACTAGTTTTCTTACAGTCAACACAAAAGGAACTAGAAAATATGTTGTTTGATATGTACATAGAATTCTAAATTCATTTTATAAAATGCCAACATTATAAAACTAACATAATTTTATGGGTTAAGCCATACATGTTTACAGATGAGTTTAACATCCTGTCTAAAATGTATTCATACCTGTGGTATATCAAGACTTGATTGAACTCAGTTATGAATCCTTTTTATTAGCATTACTACTGTTAAGTTTACTATTGGTCATATTGTGAATACTTGAAATGCACTCCAAAGCTATTAATTCCAAAGTTCCTCAACACTAGTTCAAATCAGTGGTTGAGAATTCTGTAAGTGATTAGCCTGTGGAACCAGAGCTGGGAGCTGCTGTGCTACAGCCCAGAGGCGGACTTCCAAGGTCTACAAGACAGCGATCTTATCTCATCCCTGGAGTCACCGGGGCTGCTGGCTGGCTGTTAGCAGCCTTGTTTCACTCTGGGTGTGCTATACAAATATTTCCTATATGTGCCATGATAGGAAAGTACCTACAGATATTTTCAATAATCTTGGAAAATGTGGTTTAGCAAATGTAAATCTTGGTGCTTTTTAAGATTGGAACTCTCCAAAGGCCCCATGGTAGAAACTTGCAGTACTGGCTCTCAGCTGTGCATTTTATTAAAAAGATTGTGGTCTCTGTTAGGATTTTGAAGCTTGTTTCCTTGGCCTTGGAAAGGAATATATTTCCAAGAGAAGAAATAACCCCCTTCTTCTTTTTTTTCTTTTTTAACCACACTAAAGAGCTATTTGGAATTTATTTTTTAGATTTTTTTAAAGATATTTTTATGTTTTATTTATTTTTAGAGAGAGGGGAAGGGAGGGAGAGAAACATTAATGTGTGGTTGCCTCTCACACACCTCCCCACAGGGGACCTGGCCCACAAACCAGGCATGTGCTCTGACTGGGAATCAAACCAGCAACCCTTTGGTTCACAGGCTGGCGCTCCACTGAGCCACACCAGCTGGGGCTATGTTTTGATGTTTCTGTAGGAATTCATCAATCTTAGAAATGCTGAATCAAAATAAAATTTAATGGGGCATTGTTTGTGGGAAAAATCACTGGATAAAGAAATGATTTACATGATTTTCCTTTGCCTCTTCAGAGGGTAATGTATCCCTCAGGATTTACGGGACAGAGACTTTTGCTCTGCCTTCTCACCTGTCCCCCACTCACTCCTAACCTCCAAAGGGATTTATAGCAGACCAGAAGGTTGAATTGTTTTGTTTGTCTTCCAAGTACAATTTCAGGCCACAGAGAAATTCCCAACTGATAGGATATAGTTGAGAAAGGGGGAGTGAGGACTGGGTGGAGTATTTGTTTAATATTGTATCCTAAGTGAGGGTGGAAAAGAGATAGGAACTGACCTATCATTTCATGAGGAGAAGAACTTATCTATGTTAGTGGGACAGAAGCAAGCTTAGATGGATGAATTTCCATCTAGCTACTGTCTTTTCTTATAAAACACAGATACTGAGGGGGAAAGAAAAAGTACAAAATTACCAATTTCACTCCATGGTATTTTTGATGAGGTGTGAAGTTGGCAAATAATAGTGAGAGAGATGTACTTCTTTAGGAACTAGTTATCTTTAACTTACACAGGTGTGCAACTGACTCATAATTATTTGCCATTAAAAATGGCTTTCCTTGAGTTTGTTGGGGAAAAAAATCACTTTTGTGAAGTACGTGCTGGATTCTGTGAATTTCTCATATAATGTAAGGTCATTCTTACTGTACCACAGCTCAGAATGTCTTCATTTTAAAGGTAAGAAAATGGAGACATGAGTTACAGTGGCTTACGTAGGTATTCTGTCAATGAAGTGGAAGAAGAATGCAGAATGCGTTAACCCCTAGTGTTGGAGGCTCTAGACTGCTGTGTCAGTGGTAAGCCCTGGCAGAGTGGGTGCTATGCCATTGCTCCGCAGGCTGAGGAGGAACTCGCGGGGAAGAGCTTTTGTCTTTGTCCCACGTAGCAGCTAGGAGAGAGCTATGCTGGTAAGTTCCTTAGTAATTACGGAATGACAACTGAGTTATCAAACAGTTGTTTGTGGTATTTTAAGGGAGTTTTCAGAAGACAGTTGTGATTGATTTAAATATATATTAGCATATTATGTACATCCATCAGTTGGGAAAGGGGGGTTACATGGAGGAGAGGGGACTGCAGTCAGTTTTATTTTATAGGCAGCTAACATGGGCCATTGGTTCTATTTGTACATGAAGCCGAGCCTTTAGCATTTTGAACTCACATGCCAAGTGCCTTTGGATATAAGATTAGGAATTTCATATAAGTAGCTTACATCTGACTTGTGTGTTGGAGAATATGATGATACACTTGCTTTTGTGCCCAAGCCACTAGTTTTGTATTTATATTACTTTCTGCAGGTTTACTTTTGTTAACAGGGCCTACTAGAAATGCAATAATGTTTAAAAATAACAATACTTTTTATTTTTCCCACAACCTTCCAAGGCTTCCAGGTGGGTGCCAGCTCCCAGCAAAACAGCAGCTGGGTCTGGGTAAGTGATGCCATCTGGCCTGCACACAGGCCTCCGGGTCACCGAGGTCCGGAAACCAGAACAGCCCCGGAACTGACCTGATGTGAAGCACGCCACACTAAGGACTGTGAATGTGGTGTCCAGTATTTGAAAGGAGCAGGGGGCTGGGCTGTGGGATGCAGCAGGCAGGGCGTGGCTTGTGGAGGTGTGTGTCATTCGGGAGTAATTTTAAACTTTTACCTATTTCAGCCCCTGTCAGTGAGTTTCAGCAAAGATTTGATAAAGAATTTTGTTGCTACTCTATTATCACAATCATGGTTTTAAAACGTGTATAAATTTCTTGTCCATATACTCTGTTTACATTTTTTAAAAGAAAAAAGTATATTTTTAAGAAGTTGAATTATGATTCCTATGGGTTTTCCATGCTTTCCCCCCCTTTCTTTGTTTTATTAAAATGTGCTGTATAGGACTAACTTGTTCTTCTTTTTCATTTCCATACAGGAAGGAGAAAGATGATGTTCAGGTAACCGATGTTACCATTATTTACTAGTGTTTTGACTGAGGATCACTGTGGAAAGTTTCACTGTGTGCTAGATTCCTAATTTAAAATGCCTGTAATCTTTTATAGGAATTTCATCTTTTGCAATTTGGTAGTAGCTGTTCTAACAGGTAAGTTAAAAAATGAGATTCATACAGTTTTGAAGATCTAAGTTTGGTTGAGATCTTACTATTTTGTAACCAGTAAGCCTATTGATTTATTTAAAGCTAAGGACAGTCATGGAGCTTCCCAGTCCTGTTGAGAACTGAGTGAATCTGTAAAGCAGCATTTCTGATGTTCCTTTGGTAGTTGCTGCTGGAGTCAGAATTTAGGAACAAATCTAATGGCCTTTGTAAAGTCCTCTGTCATGTCACAGAGGAATGAATTACAGGCATGATGGTTTTCCTGAAGTTTTCCCCTCCACAAAGGGCATAAGTCAGTGAGCGATCATGATATAAAGAAGGAAATTTTACTACATATATTAATGATCGTAATCTTGTCTAAGATACTATAAGCAACTTCCAGACTAAAAAATCTATAGGTAAGCTTTCAGCAGCAGCCTTAATGCTTCCTTTGACTTTTTAAAAGAACATACAAAATCTGTAGTTGCCTAAATAATATTCTCAGAAATAACAGGTAAAAATTCTATCATGGGTTTCCTTTTTTTCTCACTGCTAGGGTGTTGTGGATTTTGGGTAATAAAAGGTTTGGGTTTTTTTTTTGTTTTTGTTTTTTACTAACAGTAAGAAATATGCTTTACATCACATAAAATACATAGGTGTATGTGTAAAATAAAAGTTTTACAATAAAGTGATACGTTCTGTTTTCTAACCTGTTCTGTTGTAGTCCATCCTTTTATTAAAAATAAATAAATAAAAATACCATGATGTAACATTGATTTCAAGACCAACACGCATTTTTAGCTTTATCCTTTCAGGTTCTCACAAAACTTGTCTTCTCATATATGGAACTCTGATTATTTCAAGATGTATACAAAAAGGCATAGAATGTAAAATCTCTAAACATGTTGTAGTTTTGTTACTTGCCTTTATCATTTGACTGAGATGCTCTGTGCATTAATATTTGTTACCTCTCTATACTTTTGGTCTAATAGGCTGAAAATTTCCAGGGCATCATTGGACAGCCAGTGGAGAAGGATCAGATTGAAAAAGAAAAAAACAAAATAAAACTGTATTTGGCTGTTTTCTGTATCTCACTGAGCTGGGCACTAGCCATAAAGTATCTTTGGTGTTTGATCTCCTTTTACCAGTCCCTGTATAACAATTCTGGCTTGACTTTTAATTCTAGCCTGCTCTCCAGGTATGATGTGTAGGCTGAGTGAGACGGCTTGGGAAGATGTCTGTTCATACAGGCAAATAAGGGTTTGCTTGTGTATTGCAGTAAGTTTTGCCTTTAGAATAGGTACACCTAAGCTAAACCTAAAAGACAAAAAGCAAAAAAAAAAAAAACACAAAAAAACCCCCCAACAAACCCTGCATTTTTCCTTTTTTCCTTCCACTAATCTTTGTTATTAGACTTTCATACTCTTGATATTTGCCTTTTCTAAGTCTTAAGTTTATAGAGATGCACACCTAATACCATATAGCTTAGTTTTTTAAAAAATGATAGTGGGCAAGACTAGATCCTTTTTCTGTCTGACTTTAGGGCTGAAGGAGGCAAAAGTAAGTTATAGGTTGAATTCCTTTTTGTGGGTGATTGGAAATACTGTTGTTGTAATTTGTACATTCAAATATATTGAGAACTGTGGTATGGAAGATAAAGCTTAAGTCTGTTCCCTAGAAGTATTTCTGTATGTGTAGTCAGTGTTTTAATAGTCTTGGATTAAATATCCAGTTAGGTAAAAAGGGAGTGAAACTCAACACACTTCTGTCTGAAAGCTAACGGAAGTGACCCAAACGTCCCCAGTTGGTACTCTGTATTTAATGTTTACCAGTGGTCCCGGCCTGCATATCCTCTTCACAGAGCTTAGGGCCTTTAAGCCAAGCATCCTCCCACCTGTGGTATGGATAGAAAATGAAGGGCCTCCATCCCTCTTTGGAAAGGAGAGATGTTGAGAAGCCCTGGACGTGGCTGGGGAGCAAAAGGGTCTGGCTTGCAGTTTCAAGCTCTAAAAGTGACTCCTGTTCAGGTAAAAATAATAGTTCTTTTCCTTTAGAGCATCATAGATCTTTGAAAATCCAATAAAACTGGATTGTCTTCCCAGACCAGCAGACGCACATAGAACCCCTGCTCTAACATGCCCAATGGGGCAGAAGAACCTGTTTGATGCACATCTGTTGAATTAACCCTTCAATTCCCCTGGACTGGCGTTGGAGTGTGAGGGTTGGTAAAAAAAGTAACAGGTAGCATCAGTTTCTTCTAACCTGATGTCATTACATGTTAGTCAGTCATGGGTCAGCATTGTCTTTCATTCACTCAGAATATGGCTAAGTTGTTACCTGCTATAGGTGGTCCAGAAAGGATTAGCTATCCCAGCAAAGAACCCAGCATATCCCCAAAACCTTTGATGTGCAGAATTCCCTGACAGATTGACCTGCAGGGAATAGCATTAAGTGTTAGCCATACTGAGGGGAAATTCTGTGGACACCTATGCCCACCAAGGGACAAGTACTGCTTAGGCCATCTCAGGCCGTGACCCGCGGACTCCTGAGGTGATTGGGATGGCCTGTCCCCTGACGCTGGGAAAGAGCTGAGACTGGGAGGGAACAGTGATACTGCTAGGCAGGTAGTCTTCTCCCTTCATTAGTAAGGAATGTTTTTTGTTTCTTTTTTTCATCTTTTAGGTGGTTCGGGGATACCTTCTTTTCCCTGAACCTTACTGCTCTTCTCAATTAGAAAATGGAATCTACAGTCTAGCCGACAGTGGTATTCTTGAACCCACCTGATCCCAGTTCCAACCATTGGTTTGTAAGGAGAAACCTGATACTATAAGGAGTTGATGTCAACTTTAGAAGGTTTGGCTATTGCCTAAGCCTCATAGAATGTCCTGGAGCGCTTGCCTAACATTGGTGTGAGGCCAGAACTTTCCCAGGGATTGTGTTGCGGCACACTGGGGCCCTAGTTCTAAGAGGAACCCGCAAGTTTGTATTTCAGTTCCATTAGCGTCCAAGACAAGTCATTTGGGGGTAAAAATGGGGAAGAGTTTTAAAAAAAAATTTGCCTATTTTAATACACAGAACTTCTCTCAACAAGAGAAGGCCACACTGGGCAGGAAGTGCCTTTTTTCTCTCAGGAACTCTTCAATATTGTGTCTTAGAAGGAGCCAGGGGAATTGCTGGAGCTGAAGGGAAGGAGTGAGCAGAAGCCTAAGCTGGGAAACTGATAAGCAAAATGGAATCCCGCGGGTCCCTCATTTGTTTTCATTTCTTTCTTGTTCCGTGTGGACAGCCCTCTCGTCTTTCCAACCCCCAAGGTAAGATGAATGACTGGGCCAGGACATAGGTACAGGGTTTCTGAGGCCTTGGGCACGATGTATAAAATTAATACAAACTATTCTCTTTGGGGGAGGAGTATTACATTACCACTCCTTGCTTTTGCTAAATGGTTTGACAATGTTAATGAGTGTGTCTACTCACCAATACAGGAATTACCAATGCCAGGTAAGCACCAGAGAAAATGGCATAGAAGAGGGTATAGATCATGAGTAGTGGGAATGTGGTGGCAAAAGGAGCAAGCAGGTTAGTGATGCTGCAGAGAATCAGGTGAGACTTAAGATAATGGTACTTTCTGGTCCAGTTTTGATCAGCAGCCCATCCAGAGACAATCTGACTGACTGTCTCAGTGATACCTGGAACAATTTTGAAGAGGTTTTATGAAATTCTAATTCCGTTTTCCTAGTTCTTTGAAAAATGTGAATACCAAAGACATGTTTTCGTAAGTCATCCTGAGGCTAAGATGTGAGGGGAAAAATGGTTTCATTTGCCTATCTGTAGATCATATCATTTACTTAATGTATTCCAAACATGTAAATACCAAAAAAGTTCACCTTACCAGGAATCCCTGGTTACAGAGGCCCCCGGGCTCAGGGAGGCTTCCTCAGAGTGACTCACAGGGGAGGACACGTGGCTTCTTAAGGCTGGTGGGCCCTCGGGTCCATGTCAGGAAGTCACAGGGTAGACGGTGGCTAGGGCACAGATGATAAAGGCTGGTGTTTTAAAAAAGCACGTTGGGACTTCTTACACTCGCATATGAGGTTTTGATAAGTCCTCCTCCGAAGGTGGTTGTGCTTGATTTGAAAATGTGTAGGAAATCTGGAAATGGGAGATTATATTTTGAACATTGGGGCTGTGATATAACTTGAATAAGATATAAGAACCATATTTTTGCTTAATTTCATGATAAAACATTCTAAATCCTTTATACTGTTATAAGCTAATGTAGTGGTTAAATACCAAGAGATGAGCATGAGCTGCACTTGTTTTATTCTTCAAATCCTTCCTACAGTTCAAATATAAATCACTACACACACACACGGAAATAAAAATACTACTACCATTTCTGTGTTTCCTAAGATATGTATTGAGTCTTTATGCTCTGTTCTTTTGTTCTATTGTATAGCCCTAATCTGATCTAAATTGATATATTACCAGACATTTTAGTGAAGAAGTCCGTTTAGCTATGTATTTTTTATGTTTGTGTACATACACTTTGAAGCAGAGCACCTTTGAAGTTGAAACACAGTTTTGTAAGGGTGTGGCATGTAGTCTGGCAAGAAATTAGCAAGAGAACAGTCAATGTTGAGCTAGTCAGAATTTCCAGATAACTAGAGCAAACCAGTTCCATCTCATCCCTTCTCACTTTTTTAGACTTCCTCTTTTGTCGGATGAGAGAACCTGTACTGAATCAAGCACCCTGCTTCCATATATTTTTATACCTGTTTTTATGTGATAACTTAATATTCTTATTTCTTTTAAATACCATACAATCGAGTAGTGACTAGCCTCAACAAGCATATTTATGTCTTACTATGAGTTGAAAGGGAAAAATGCATAGCTACAAATAGTAGAACATTACCGAATGCTTACAATGGGCCAGGCACTATGCTAAACCTCATATGCATTACTTGTTTAATCCTAATAACCTTATCAGGGTAGGTACTATTTATCCCTATATTACAGATGAGGAAATTGAGGCACAGAGAAAGCATGTAATTTGCCCAAGGTAACACGGCTCAGAAACACAGCACAAAAATGAACCCAGGATGTCTAGCTGCAGAACCAAACCTTTCAACCACTGCGCTGTGCTGTTTACCTATAATTTCTTTTGCTTCCTCGAGTGGTCATTGCCACTAAGCACCAGCTTTTAAAAATGCAGTATTTTCCAACAAATATTTAAGGTCTACTGGTTCAGACAGGCACCTGTGAAAAAATATTAAGACTTTCTCCTTGGTTGAGTATGAGGTTGAAGTAGGCTTGCTTACCAGCTACAGAAATGAGGTAGGAGGTGTCCATTACATCAATCCCCAGTGTTTCGGCTCTGGCTACCAGGTGGAAAGTAGGGATCATGTACGCTAACTGACTGAAGACGAAAGACCCAGTGAATATGCAGAAAAAAATTCTTAAGAGAAATATCACAGAGATTTTGTATACAGGCTCACAGAAGAGCCTTTTGCTTGAAACTTTCTTCATTAGTTATTAGGAACAGTCTGCTCCTGTTTGGCCCACTGTGGAACTCTGTTTCGATTTTGCGAGGCTATTAAAGTTTTACTGGTTTGCCCAGTCTTCTGCGTAGTACTGTCACTGATGGTAGACACTTGTGTTGCGTTGCAGTGTGACATGTCTGGCCCGCATGCTGCCTCCATACCACTTGCAGACAAATTGCTACCTTGATCTTCCATATCAGAATTATTCTCGCTTGTGATGTGGATGGGTCTCAAGAGCATACTAGAAGGCACCAAGTTCAGGAAGATAGCTCCAAATAATACAAAGGCACCTAAATAGAAATTGAAAAGTTAAAAATTACCTCTCATTTCACACTACTGTGTTCTTAGGCTCAAAAGAGCCCTGCCACTAAGTATTCATAGGGCTTCAATTCCTTAAGATACTGCTTTGTCCCCTGATTTTAACTGAAAGTATTTAAATGTGATGGCTTAATTGTTAGACATACACATTGCTGTGTCCTTGTGAAAATGGTGTCCTTTGTACATAATGGCACCAGAAAGTGGTACCAATAGGTGGCACCGAAGGAGGGAGTGTTATTTGTGCTGCAAGAAAAAAAGAGTAAGGGTTTTCTTGGGCTGGGGGGAAGATTTCAAACGTTGGAAAATTGCATTTGGTCTTAAATAGGAATTTTAAATATTCTGAAGTGGGTATAAATTTGGGTATAATAAATATAGGATTTGATGATGGGAATCATTTGGAAACTGCCTTCGAAGAGGGGACAGCCTTTCATCTTGTGACATTTTTAATTTCCTTGAAAGAAGACAGATGCCAGTTTGGCCGCTGAAGCCGAGTAGTCGCTTGATGTCAGCGTGGCCTGGCCACCGCTGTGGTGTGTGTGCTGCTTCCAGGGACAGACACGGCTGCGGCTCTGTTCCCCCGGCACGGATTTGTCAGCGGGTCATGTCTGCCACGGCACTGCTGGTAGTTTCTTACTTAGAAAAGGGCAGATTCAACAAAGCTGCTCTGTGGACATACGTTTCTCTAGAAATAAACATATATATGGGCATATCATATTTTTCCAGGAATGTAAGGTTATTTAATCCAGTTTTTAGCCAAGGCACAAAGAAAATTGTGGAGTGAATGATTTTCATTCGTGAAAATTTATAGTGGACAGTATATAAAAGATTTAAGTATTAAGGAACATAATCCTCTTTTTTACCCAATTTTTTTTTCTTTTGGTTCTGTTTTAGTAAGTGTGACGGAGGAGGCATTTTTTAAAATGCAGTTTTTAAAGGGAAAATGTGAAAAGAATGCTTTGAGGTGGGGGAAGGGGTGTCCTTTGTCTCCCCAGGAGTACGGGTGGCCCTGCAGTGCCCACTGAGTGCCTCTGTGCCCTCAGACAGGAGCCTTGGGCCGAACTTGGAGTTGTCTGTGTGGCTGGCAGAGCCTTCAGGTAGTTGAAGATCTCTCGTGTGTATTCTCCTTTAGAGGTCATTTCCACTCTGGCTCCAAACACCTTCACTTCCAGTCATCAAAGGGAGAAAACTGAGAATGAAATCTCACAGAGTTCATAGGTCAGAAACTTAGGATGACACCTGTCCAGTCATACAAATCTATCAGGACTTTTGCAAAAGGTGCCAACAAACATGCCAGTCCCACCCCTGAACGGGCAATAGCTGTAGAAAGTCCTAATCGTTTTTTGAAGTATTTGCTTATTACCACCACTGCTGTTTGGTACAACAAAGAGAAACCCAAACCTAAAAGGAAGCACAATAGATTGGAGTCAAGTGATGTGCCGTGGTCTCAGACCAGATACTCTCCTGGATCTGAGATAATAAAACTAGGCCTTTTGGACCCAGGGACCACAGAAGAAAAGGTTTCTAGTTCCTATGTTAGAGGCTTTTTACAGTGGACTCACCAGCTAAAAATCCCATAGTCACACAAAGAAAGGGGATGCTTGTAGCCAAGCCAGTGATCAGGTATCCACCAGAAACAAGACAGGCCCCAAGAAGGGAGGCAGTTTTCTCTTCATATCTGTTGCAGACAACAGCAACCAGGGGACCTTAGGAAAAGAAAGAAAAGTTAGTACTAGGCGAGTGTGCTGTGGCATCCCTTACCTCCTGGTGCGCAGCTGAAGGGAAATGGGGACTCGGGAGTAGTTTGTGTCCTTCAAAAAGGTATCTGTATTGGGTTTCTTACCATTCCCAGTCCCACAGTACTTTGCTTTTAGGAAGAAGGGGTGGGGGGGGGGGGGCGTTGGTTGGTTGGTTTTAAGGAGAGGATTGTAAATAAGCCGGTTTGGAGGGGAAGATTATTGAAACTGCATTACAAAACCTCCACAAAATGAGATTGTGTCTGGTGACCTATGACTAGAACAAGGTTTGCTCATTCACCTCCACCACACTAGAGCCCCAAACTGAAGGAAGAGGGGTTGGTTCCCCACTTGTGAATATGCTTAGGCGGTCATATCAGAACCTCAGGATCTGACTTCCCAGCTTAGAAACTGGCTCACTGAACCTCTGCTAAGGCTCTGTGGAAAGGAACAAGGCCTGAAACGTTCAATCATGGAATTAAATAGTTGGATTCTTTAATTTGCTTTGTTTGAACTCTAATTTTTCCAACTTTGCCAAGTGAAGTGGAGGCTAAACGCTACACGATTTTTCTTATTCTCAGCTTTACATATTACTAGATGAGCCTGAGTAAGCAACGCCTCAGTCGTGAATGACTGACAGATGGTTCTTGGAATTGCCCCCTGTGACCCCGCTCCTTGGACTGGCTTCATACCTGCAGAAAAACGGAGTGAAGCCATGATGGAGCCAATCCAACCAGTTTGCTCCGAGGTGCTTTCAAATTCTTCTTGGAAAACCACAAAGAAAACTGCAAAAGACTTCACAGTTCCCAGCAAAAACACGTTCACCTAAAAACATACCAGAGTCCAAGTCAGGTGGTGAGGGAGCCATTACAGAGGAGGTTCCAACTGCTCAAGGCTCTGATTCCCCCGGCTCACCAGCACGTACCAGATGGCCGGGCAGTTCCTTGCGCAGCTGATATTTTAAGGGTGGTCATCCCCTAAGAGTTTCTCTTAGTGCTTTATGTGAAAGTGCCTCTGAATCATTACAAGGCTATGGAATAAGTGTGTCACTGTTGTACTAGAGATCAGGAAATTGAGGTTTAGAGAGCTTAAAAGTGCTGAGGATAGGAGTGCTGGGGCTGAGATTTGAACCCAGAGAGATTGACTCCAGACCAACCACTACCCTACTGTTTTGTTACAATAACATCAGTTAAACTGGACCAAGTCCACTTACATTTGTGAGAGACACGTGTTGGTCCAAAAGATGAACTGTTCCTCTCAGTTCGTAGGTGGCTTTTGCTCTAACTCAGCTCTTGAGCTGAGTACCCTCTGTCACTTCATATATAAATAGGGTGACTATATAATTTATCCAAAATTGAAACATTTTTGAGAGCAAAGGGGATTATAGTTAATTTGTGCCGGGACGGCAAGAGTAAAGCAGGTCATCTGGTTGGGTTGTGTGCCCTTCCCTTTCCTGTGCCCCACCTCCTTACCTGCCCCGCACTAGAAGGGACATTCCTCTGAGGTCAGGTTTTCTTAGGAGTGCAAGCATTTGTTTGCCTCCTGGAATTCTGACTAGCCTGGGGCAGTGGAGAGCAGGGGTCAGGAGGGAGGGCAGACATCTATGCAGATTCTGCAGTCATTTTGTCCTCGGGCTTCCTAGCTTGCCATTTCCTTTGGTCAGTGGCCTTGGTTTTTCAAGGCCATTTTCTCTGCCCTCTGCCTGGCCATGTATTGCTTAAGAATCACAGACCTTGAAAGTGGTGGCGGAAAAATGAAGACAACTGTATTTGAACAATAAAAAAAAAATCATAGACCTTGCCTTGGCTGGTGTGGCTCAGTGGATTGAGTGCCAGCCTGTGAACTGAAAGGTCGCTGGTTTGATTCCCAGTCAGGGCACATGCCTGGGCTGTACGCCAGGTCCCTGGTAGGGGGTGCGCGAAGCAACCAACTGATGGACCTCTCACACAGCAATGTTTTTCTCCCTCTCTCTCTCCCTTCCCCTCTCTTTAACAATAAATAAAATCTTAAAAAAAAAAAAAAATCACAGACCCTGAGTTCTCTTTGACTGATTTCAGTTTCTCTGTCCACCTATTAATAAGATCCCCTTGGGTTTCTGTATTCATCTCACTTTATCTTGTATCTGCCCCATAGACAGTCATTCACTCTCACCGTTCTAATTGCCACCCACGTCCTGGTGGTGCAGAAGTTACAGTACTGCTCTTGCATAGTCAGCTTCCTTGGCCTAAGTCCTGACTCCACTTCCTACTAGCAGTGTGACCGTAGGCAAACTATTTCACAGCAGTTAAGCTTCCTCTGTTGTAAAGTGGAGGTGAAGTAAAGGTTAGCTAGATCATAAGACTGGGAAGATTGAGAAAGTTCTCGTAAAGTACTTAATAGTTTTTTCTGGGGTTACACCCTGATAAACCCATCATAAACTGAAAATACCCTTAGTTGAAGATGCATTAAATACATTTAACCTACTGAACATCATAGTTTAGCCTACTTTACAGATGCTCAGAACACACACTAGCCTACAGTTGTGCAAAATTGTCTAACACAAAATACTTTTATAATGAAGCATAGACTGTCAGAATTTATTATTGCTTCTGCACCATTAAAAAGTTGGAAACTCATTAGATCAAACCATCATAATTAGGGGACTGTTAAGTGGCAGTTAATAGTCAAACTATTATCTACGATTGTATTGGGCAACCATTCTCCTTTCCAAAGAGTAAACCAGGTCACGTTTATATAACTAACTACCATATCTCTCCAACTCAAGGCAACTCACCCCAAACGACAATCTTGCCCTTATCCCAGCACCACTTTTGCCTTTCTTTTTTGATTGGTACTGTCCACCCTTGCAGCAGAGTCTGAGCCTGGCTCCTCTTAGACACCTCGTTCCCTTAACCCCTACCTACTAAATAACCAAGACCTTCCCCCTCTACTCCCAGCTAGACTTACTTCAGACTAGTATTGTCTCTTGTCTGCAGTAAGGGAGTAGGAATTGGTGGTGGTGTTCCCAAGGCTGCAAAAGTTGGGGGTGGTGAGGAGGCGATCCCTCAGTATGTTTTCCCTGGTCTGATGTTGGTAGAGGCTACCATTTTTTTTTTTTTCATTATTTAGAGTGAACAGTGCTATGGACACCAGGGATATGTATTCAGAAGTGAAAAATATTTTTTCAGGCCCTCATTCAGAGAGCTTGGGCTCAGAATATTGCCAAAGGCGTTTCTATCAGGAAATGGGGCTGGAGAGCATGCAAGGACCTCGAAGGACCCAGACCTGTTTCTGTCAGTTCCAAATCCACAGAGTGGCAACTGCGCCCTGTCGTGAGCCAGGAACATTGCAATGAGACGCCATTCTGGAAAGTATCCTTCCTCTTTTTCTGTGGATGTGGGTTCTGGGCTGGCATCTAAAGGATGCTGACCTCTACATCCTGAATTTGGCTAGCTACTGGTACCCCTAGTTCAGAATCTGTCCTCTCCGTCTTTCCTGTCTGGGCTTGGCAGCGGTGAGTGGATATGACTCGTCTCTAATAGCTGAGTCTGCGTCTTCCGCTGTGGATATCAAGAAAGCCAAGATCAGCCTTTGCAGCCACCTTGCCTCCCTCCCTGAACTCGTAACCTTCCAACTTGATCTCTGTTTGACTCAAACATATTTAAAAAGATGTCCCCAAAGTCTGGATTTCCCCTTATTTAAGCAGACTAGATATATCTGTATTCATCCCATGCTTTGGACCAAGGTTTTTGGGTTTCAGTCCTGTCCTGGGGTCCACATCAGACACTGTCAATGGGATCACCCCAAAACAAAAGCCCCTAGAAGTTGTCCTATGGCTGACCCAACCCTGTCATTTCCTTTTTATCTTTAAGAGCATACCCCACCCCCACCCCCCTCCATAAGAACTTCCTCACCCAGATCAGTTTAATTAGCTTATTGTCTTGGGGCTGGGTCAGCCAGAGTGGCCGCTTTTGAATACAGAGCATCAGGCTTTGTTAGAAATTGTTTAATAGCAAATTTCCTGCCAGCCTGTCTAGGTCCCTGTCTAGCATCACCTAGCTCTTCCTGACCTTCACAGACAAACTAAAGAGTCCATCAGGTCGTCTCCACTTCCTCATCCCAGCACCCCACAGGACTGGCTCTTACCGAGGTATCAGAGGCTTCCCTGTCACTAGAGTCATAGTCCGTGGTCATTTGTACACTAGTATCCTCTCATCCCTTTCTCTGGGACATTTCTGCCTCCGCTTCTGTGACACTGCATTTCTGGATCCGGCTGACTTCTGAGTGCTTCTCGGTTGCTCTGCGGGTGACTCCGCCATCCCCTAGACGTTGGTTCCCTCAGGTTTAATTGCTCTTGGTTGCTCTTCTCTCACTCGCTGGCGATCTGACCCACCCTGCCCCATGCGTGGTTCAAACCTCCACAGATGCCAATGACTCACAAATTTCAGGGTGCGTATCCATGCTCCGCATGCACACAGACTGCTGCACGAGTTGGTTATTATGCCACACGTCCCTCAGACTGTCCAAAGTCAAGCCACCCCGGGCATCTGCAGATCTACCCCCTCCAGCCGACATCCTGCAGTTCAGTGAATGCATTCTGCCATCCTCCAGGTTGCGTGAGCTCACAACCCAGGATTCTGACTTGCTCTCTCTCTGAACTCCCCAAGCCTTGTAAGTCTACCTCCTCAGTATCGCTCAGATCTGTATTCTCTCTGTCTTCACTGCTACGCCCGAAACAGGGAAGTAATTAACCTGGATTATTGAACATCCCTCCAATGGACCGGCCCAGCGAGGTATTACCCCCGCGGCAGCCAGAGCTGTTTTCCTGGGATGCAAATCTGATCCTATTACTCTCTTGCTTCGGGGTTTTTTTTGTTTTGTTTTTTGGGATTTTTTTTTTTAGCTCATCAAGGTTCTTAACATGTTAGACAAGTCCCCTGCCCATCTCTCCAACTTCAGCATTTACCACCTTCCTTCGTGTTCATTCCTAAGTCTGTCCAACAATCATCCTACCCATCTCCCCTCAACAGGTATTTATTAAGTGCCTACTATGTTCCAGGCTATTTACTATCATCCCTTCTCTCGCACCAAGGAGGAGGCGTGATGTTTTCCCATTGCCCTGTGCTGTCCACATGGCGGACTACAGGATGTTAGTAGTCACCAGGACCTGCGCTCCTCTCCCTGTGAGCTACTGCAGGGCTGGGGCGCAGGGTGGGGTGGGCGTGACCGGGAGGGAAAGGGTCTCTGTGAGATTTGGGGACCCCAGCAGAACTGTGGAGCGAGTGCCAGTCTGCAAGGCCGTCGGGGGTCGAGATGTGACAGGACCTGCCGATGCCCTAGGAGGACTATGCTGACAGATGAGCGCGCCTCTGGGTCACTCAACCTGAAGAACTTCTTCAAGGATGAGAGAGAAAAGTTCATTGAAAAAAAAAAACTAGTGCCCTGTCCAGTTGCTTATGGATGAAGGAGAGAAACCAGGCTCCCATTTTGGACTCTACATCCTCTTTCTCCCCAGATGTATCAGAAACATGCGTGGGGCCCAGCTCCTGCATTCGTTGTGGCTGGCCGGCCAGGCGTGGGAAGTGGGCAGCAGGCAGGACAGAGAGGGGGACATCCCCCTTCCTAAGAGGGAAGGACGTAGCTGCCAACCATTCCATGTATGCGGGGCTGAGCTGGCGACCCTACCCCAGAAACACGTTGTAGCCCTTCCCAGCACTACTTCTGGGGAGGTTCCATGTATGATTGTCCCCAACTCTAACTGCCGTCCCGCTGGGGCAGAGCTGTTGATGGTGACTGGAGGGGGAGGGGGAGACCAGAAAGGGATGCTTCTGCTGGCGCTCGAGGTGGACGTCTTCAGCCTTCCGGGTTCACTGGGGGCCGCCGACCTACCGCTGCTGAGCTACCGCCGGCAGTGTCTGGCCTTGTTCTGCCCCCCTTTCCACTCAAATACCAAAGATTTCAAAGGGACCTTGTTAGGTTGCTCGGAGGCCTTCCCCAGGGCGCTGTCTTTCCGGCAGGAGGAGAGGCAAAGTGAATTCTCACCAGGAAGAAGTGAAGCACAATCATCCATCCCCAGCCTCCATCCAGGGCCGTGGTGTAGGGTGGTGCCTGCCTCACGCTCCTTGGCATGGCGCTGTATCAGTTTTAAATGCGGGAGATCCCTGTGACAACCCAAGATGTAGCTGATCCAGTTGGCAAGAAACAGATCTAAACGTTTAAACTTTACTTTTCTTTGTGGTACCAAGTCACTTGTACTGTAGTATTTTATTAGCCCACCCCCCTTTAAAAATAGATGATTTCGGTAGGTAGATACACGTTGCCTCCTCATACAACCAAAAGGTCAACAACAAATCTAAAAACAAGAAATAACCAGAACTGCCAGAAAATCGAACTGTATGGACGTCTGATAACCAAGGAGCTAAAGAAGAACATGCATTCAAATTGGTAGGAGGGGAAGAGACAGGCAGCCTGGGCGAAGAGGATGAGCAGCAAGGTGGCGGCTGGAGGACCAGGAAGGCGAGGCAGCGGGCGACAGCTGGCAGGCCCGGCAGCCCCACATCTGTGTGCAGATAAATCAGAGCAAGAGCTGGGGAGTGTGACAGACCGCCCAATCCAGGGCACCAGTGCGGGAAAAGAAAGCCTCAAAACCTCTGGAGGTAAAAACCTGTGTGGGTTGTGGCAGGAGGAGAAACCCCCAGCCTCACAGGAGAGTCCGTTGGAGGACCCACAGGGTCCTAGAACCCACCAGGGAATCAGCACCAGAAGGGCCCAATTCATTTGTGGGTAGTGGGAGAAGTGACTGAAAGCCGACTGGGAGCCAAGCAAGCAGCACTTCCCCTCCCCTACATGCAACATCATAACGCAGTGACCTGGGTCACCCTGCCCTGGCAAATACTAAGGTTCCGCCCCCTCCAATGTAACAGGTACACTGAGACAAAGAAATATGGCCCAAATGAAAGAACAGATCAAAGCTCCAAAAATAGAACTAAGCGATGAACAGATAGCCAACCTATCAGATGCACAGTTCAAAACACTGGTAATCTGGATGCTCGCTGAATTGGTTGAGTATGGTTGCAAAATAGAGGAAAAAGGGAAGGCTATGCAAAGTGAAATAAAGAAAAATATTCAGGGAACCAACAGTAAAGGGAAGGAAACTGGGACTCATATCAACGATTTGGAGCAGAAGGGAGAGAGAAATATTCAACTAGAACATAATGAAGAAACAAGAATTCAAAAAAATGAGGAGAGGCTGAGGAACCTCTGGGGCAACTTTAAATGATCCAAAATCCGAATCATGGGGGTGCCAGAAGGGGAAGAGGAAGAGCAAGAAATTGAAAACTTATTTGAAAAAAATAATGAAGAAGAACTTCCCCAATCTGGCAAAGGAAATAGACTTTCAGGAGATCCAGGAAGCTCAGAGAGTCCTAAAGAAGTTGGACCCAAGGAAGCACACAGAGGTACATCAAAATTATATTATCCAAGATTAAAGATAAGGAGAGAATCTTAAAAGCAGCAACAGAAAAGGAGACAGTTACCTACCTACAAAGGAACTCCCATGAGACTATCAGCTGATTTCTCAAAATAAACCTTGCAGGCAAGAAGGGGCTGGCAGGAAGTTTTCAAAGTCATGAAAAGCAAGAATCTACATCCAAGATGACTCTATCCAGCAAAGCTACCATTTCGAATGGAAAGGCAGATAAAGTGCTTCCCAGATGAGGTCAAGTTAAAGGAGTTCATCATCACCAAGTCCTTATTATATGAAATTTTCAAGGAACTTATCTAAGAAAAAGAAGATGATCAAAAACTATAAACAGTAAAATGACAACAAACAACTATCAACAACTGAATCTAAAAAAAAAAAAAAAAAACAAGAACAAAAACAAACTAGGCAAACAACTAGAACAGGAACAGAATCACAGAAATGGAGATTAGAGAGGAGGGGGAAGGGGAGAATGGGGGGAAAAGGTACAGGGATTGAGAAGCATAATTGATAGGCATGAAATAAACAGGGGGAGGTTAAGAATAGCATAGGAAATGGAGAAGCCAGAGAACTTGTATGTATGACCCATGGACATGAACTAAGGTGGGGCGGGGGGCGGATGCTGGAGGGAAGGGATACACAGGGCAGAGGGGAATAAAGGGGAGAAAAGAAATGGGACAACTGTAATAGCATAATCAATAAAATATACTTAAAAAATTACTACCAAAATAAGCAGTTTCTGTAAGAACTGCAGAAGGACCTTGCAGGGAAGATTCTTCAGTATGTAGGTTTTGGGTACAGTTTGTTTTCTTAATCAGAAGAAACGATTCCTTTTCACCTGTACCCACAACCCTTTATATCTAACAGCCACCCTACAAATTAGCAGCTACTTCACTTTGGACACATTTAGCTTGGTCCCTGGGGCAGTCTGTGGGCAATCTGATGTTGCAGACAGACGTCCAGAAACTGCTCTCCAGGTAGGGCAGTAACCTTACACGCTCTTCTTGGTGGCGCACCGGTGCTCCCAGGTGTGGGAGCGCTATCATCTATCATTCCTCGGCCCTGCGGAAATTGTCTCGGGGAACTACCACTGAAACTGCGATAAAGTTGAAAACGAGCCTTCAGAAGTCCAAAACAAACAAACAAACAAACAAACAAACAAACAAAAAGGTGATTTCTTCTTGTTCTGTAAGTTGTTCATTGACTCTCTAATCTCACCCTCACAAGTGCATGGAGGACTTTGTATCACTTTGGGGTACTTTTCCTCAGGTCTGCAGTCTGGCGTCGACAGGCAAGTTCATGTGGCTTTGGCAGTTCCCTGGAAGCATGTCCTTAGTTACATATAAAGTCTGCTTGGCTGAAATGACCCCTATCTCTGCTTATTCTGTAATCACGATCCAGGCAGACTCTTGGGAGAAGGAAGAAAAAAGCTAATGACGGGCTGTCACTTGAGGGACTTTGAAGCCACTGCAGAAGAATCTCAACCACCCATTTGAACGGCAGCAAGATGCCCGCTCAGTTTATTTCAGGCAGGACTTTCAAAGGAGTTAACTGCAAAGCCTGACCTCACCAATTGTGAGGGTGGCCGCCCCTGGCACTGTCTTTGGTGTCCTCTCGACTTTAGAGAAATAAAAAAGGGCGGGTGGCTCGGGTTTAGGACTTCCATCGACAAAGCACTTGCTAAAATTAAAATATTCTAAGGGACTAAATAGACACAAGAACAAAATGCAGTAACTTCCTTGAATGGGCCCTGGACGAGGGAAAAAGTTGCGAAGGACTTTGGGAGGCCATGAGGTTTGAATAGGGGCTGTGCAGCAGACAAAGAGTTAAGTGTGTTGGATATGAGGGTGGCCTTGTTGGGCAAGAGAATGTGCTAGAAAGTATTCAGGTGCAAAGTGTCATAGTCTGCTACCTTCTTGCAAATGGTATAAGGAGAGAGAGCAAAAAAGAAAATGAGACTGTTCTGAGGAAGGGTCCAGCAGTCTTCATTTCCCACAGTCAGGTCGGCAGACGGGCTGTTTCTTACCGGAAACGAGGATCCGCCGGTGGGGCAAGTGGAGTGGCCATGTCGGGAGCAGACTGGGCTGGGAGATGAGCCGGTGGCACATTCGAAACATTCTAGAAAACCAGCCTCAAAACGCAATCCCATTCTTGTCTTACCTTTGATGTGGTGTGCAGCAAAGGAATCCTCCGCAGACGAGGCACTCCGGGAAGAAAAATAAACTCTAGGGTTTTCTAGAATGTTACTCTTTTTCTAAGACAGCCCCTAACGTTCTGCTGTGAAAACAAGCGAGCACTGTGAGGATCCAGGACGTGAGAGCCAAGGTCCCGCCAGTGGGCTTTACTTCCTGAGGAGAGGAGGCGCCACTCCAACTGGACTTGGCCCAGTGCCCTCCCGCCATCCACCCCGACGTGCAGGTGTTTTCCCTGCAGGCCCGAAAGCCAGCATTGGAGCAAGAACCAAGTGAAAAGTCCTCCCGGACACTCCTGCTGAAGGACAAATGGGGAGCTCGTTACAGAGGTGGCTCTGGGGCTGTGGCAGCCGACGCAAACAAACCTAAAGCCAAGCCCGCGAAAGCTGCGCGGGGAAGACATCCAAACCTAAGGACAACCAGTCACAGCCAACCAGGCTTTAGGCGACAGCCAGTCAGTCGTTTCCTTGCTTTGCTTCTGTCTTTTCTCCCTAAAAGCCTCTCCCCAAGCTTCTGTTGGTAGAGCACTCCTAACGACGTGGAGTTTGATGCTGCCTGATTTAATTCCAATTGAATTTTAATCAAATACATTCTTACAAATTTGAATATGCCTCAGGCGGTAAGAAAGGGGAAACCCAGGGAAACCCAGTGGTAGGATTGTGTGGGGGTTTCCCCTTAACACTATGCTCAAGGCAAAGAATGGGACCCCGGGACTCTGACACCTGCGCCTCTGCTGTTCCTCAGGGGACCGTGGAACACGCGTATCTCAGAGGAGGAGACGATGTCCCTCTGCCCGGGTTGGCAGGTACATTTCTTGGGTCACAAATGGCAATGCTCAGGAAGTTCAGCACATTTGTGTGGCCTTCTGTGTGCTGACGAAAGGACCCGGGAGCAAGGTGGGGTTCCAGGCCTCATTTGAATTGCTGTTTTCTGTGCTTTAAAACCTCACTGAGAAACACCTCCGAGAGAAGGTGTATACCTGAATTTTAATGAGACTTTTTCTGTATTGCATTTTGGAAATGGGTAAGGCTGAGTCTCCTGGAAAACTACTGGGATGATTCAACTTTCTTATTCCATTTCCTTCCTTTGTTGCACCCTCCACCTCAAAAAAAACAAAAACAAAAACAAAAAACAGGAAATTGCCTTTCATCTCCCCAGCACCAACATCTCAGGTTTTAAACTAGAGCGGATTTTAGGCCAAAGTGTGTTTTACCTGTTTTAGCTGGAAAATGTGCACATGTTTATGCATGTTCCTTTTTATTATTTTTTTAAAAATATTTTTTAAAATCCTCACCTGAGGACACTTTTTACATTGCTTTTAGAGAGGAAGGGAGAGAAACATCGATGGGAGGGAGAAGCATCAATTGGTTGCCTCCCGTACACGCTCAAACTGGGGATTGAACCCACAACCCAAGTATGTGCCCTGACCTGGAATCGGACCCTGAGCCTTTCGGTTT